AAATTATAAGCAGCCCAGTATAAGGGACTGTCAAAATATTTGTGCTGTTATTTGGCTCACAGTATGTGTACAGTCTATTATATATATATATATATATATATATATATAGTCATTAATAGTCTATAGTCATTAAAATAAATTATAAAATAAATAAATTTTTTTGTGAAGGTTTTTTTTTTTAAGATTTTTATATGCAGGCACAATTTAGATTTCTCCACAAAATTAATTTTAAGCATTTAAGCCTATGGTTTTAAAGATCACAAGTAACACAAAGTCACTCGAGTGTCCAAACTGCCTGGCAATGTAGCTACACGTCTTTTTCTCCTTTAAAAATTTGTTCCAGAAATAATATTATTATCAAGGGTAAATGAAATGGCTATTGCAGATGTCTTATGCTGTCTTCGCCAATAAAAGCTTCTCTGTTGGAAGAAAAACTTGCACTCGATGCAGCTCATACACACACTTCCAAACTGGCAATGAGTAACTAGCAGATAGCTAGCAATATGCTATGCAGAGGGCTCAAAAGCATATGGGGAAGAAAACAGCGCAGGTCACTGAGTTGGGCTGAATGTTGAGCAGGCGGCTTCATGGTTCACTAAGCTGTAGGGGCTATCAGCATGTACCAGCGACGGGTAAATGATTCAGTATATGTATGTCCACAGCGCAGAAACACTATATCACGCTTCATGTGTTATGGGACCTAAATATCCACAGGCATGTTTTGCGGTCGGATTCACTGGCAGTACCAACTAAATATATATAAATAAATACAGCCTTTTTTTTCTTTCAAAAAATGTTTAAACATGATGTATAAATAAAAACACACTACTGGTCAAAAGTTTGGAATTTTCATGTTTTTTAAAAGACTCTTATGCTCACCAAGGCTGCATTTATTCGATTGATAAATATTATAACAATTTAAAATAACTATTTTAATTTAGAATTTATTTTAAAATGTAATGAACTTCTGTGATGGCAAAGCTGAATATGACACTTTTTTCAGAATTACATTTTTAAACAGAAAGTTCAAAAGAGCAGCATTTATTTTTTTTTTAAATGGAAAGCATTTGTTGCAATTTGAATGTCTTTTCACTGACACTTTTAATCAATTTAATGTGTCCTTGCTGAATAAAAGCATTTAATTTTTTTTTTTAACTTTCCACAAAAACATTAAAGACAGTTATTTTAAATTGTAATAATATTTCACAATACTACTGTTTTTACTGTATTATTTATTAAATAAATGCTGCCTTGGTGAGCATAAGATACTTTAAAAGATATAAGATATTTTAAAATCTTATTCCAAACCTTTTATATTGATATTGTAATATAATTGCAGGAGGGACCCAAGCCATTTCCAGCCATTTTATAATGGCTTTTACATTTCAGAAAATGTTAAAGTAATGGGACTTGCAAATATTATTGCGGATAGTCAAAAAGGTGGAGAACCACTGCTCTAAACTGTTCTGTCCATAAAAGGCAAAACAACTAAAATCTCCCAATTTCCTAACACCCATTCACCTTTTAGCCAACAAAAGGTGCAGAGAAGGTTTATGTGGGTGAGCTGAATTGCGACTGTGTCCGTGGTACAAAATCACTGGCCGAAGATAAACTCCTGCAATTCCAGCATCATGCCGTCACCCGGCAGGCGAGCATCACGTGGTGAGGATTACAGATGTGGAAATCGAACTAAACGTCTAAGTATGTGATTACTAAAGCCCCTATAAAGACGAACAGCAGCAGTGTGTGGAAAGCTCAGGTCTCTTAACCGTGTTAACCTTTACAATCTACACTCCAAAATTTGGTTTTGAAGCACACACACATGCTCATCTCCTAAAGCCGCCTACACTTTGAATCTCCATTGGGGTGCTGACAATCCCATGACCCAGTTTCTCAGCTCAAATCCTATGGAGGAAGACACTCCAGAGCTCCTCACAGCGAGATTACTGTCACAAAGAGCTCATTTCTGCCGCTCCTGCCCCGATGAAAAACACTCCATTCAGTCACAACCGTGTGAGCTTAGCGAATACGCCTTGGGAGACAGAAGAGAGTACCCATCTCCAGCTGGCATGCTAACAGTCGGGGGGCCATCGGGTCAGACCTCATGCCAGACCCAAACTCAGAGACTGGTGAGCACCACCAAGCCACTCAAAAACCATTTACATCCAACAAAAGGCCCTGATTGTACACCGAAGTGCTCGACGCTGAGAGATACGGGTAAGAATGAACAGCCCCGGTGAAAGGACTTGACACAAGAGGGTTTTTTTTTTAATCAGAGTTACAACATACTTTCACAGAATAAAAGGTTAAGAGAGGATATGGAGAATGAAATGAAAGAGAAAAAGGATGAATCTACGGACGGCAGGACAAAGTGTTAAACCAGAATGGATGGGAGGGGGTTTCTGTTGGAGAGTGTTCGAGAGCTGCCACAATAAGACAAAAAGAAAAGAATCGAAGAGATAAATATAAGAGGCAGCTCACTGAGCCGAGGTTGTGGGAGAAGACGTATCTAAATAGTAGCCATCTCCCTCTCTTTTTCACTGTCTTTCTATTACAGCCTTGTGGGTCGACATTGAGCAGTAAGTGGGCTAGACTGAGGCGGCGAAAAGAAAAGAAAAAACTAAAAGAGAAAGGTAGGAAGTAAGAAAAGACAAGAGGAAAAAAAATGAGGAAAATATTAGGAAAAGAGAAACGTTTGTTAAACCCCAGCCTAAATTTAGCTGTAATACTTCTGTCCTTCTTCTAATGCGGTTTTCAGTAAATATAAAAGCCCTCGCAGCATGAAAAGTGGAGAAAGCCAGTGTCAGCAAGCACTTCCAGAACCCACAGTGAGACCGCAAGGTGAAAACAGACCACAAGCTGTTTCACTTTAAGTCATTTCGCATGCCATTGCCCTGTTTTTCAAGGAGCTATTGGAGCCAGAGAGAAATTAATGTTTTGTCAGCGGACCGGGCTGATATGAATTAACCAATTTCATATTGCATTTGGAGTAAATTTTTTATTTTGAGGTTATTTTTGAGTTACAGCCCAGTCTCGTTCACTCTTGGTAATGAATGGCTACTAAAATGTTACCCTTTTTCCATTGGTGCTGATTATTTCTTGCGGCACTGAGCTGAATCTACTGTGCCGTGGCAAAGAGTGAGTTTCCTGAGTGAGTTTTAAAAGATGAAGTTATCTGAATAGAAAGTAGCGAGATAAACTGAGTACTATGACAACATAAAGACAATATATAGACAACACATCTTTTTCTAATGAGTTGTCTTCACAGGCTGCATGCAAAAACCAAAAATACAACTGTCCAGTTAAGACGGTTTATAGACTCTCAAAACTGGAATTTTGCTGATTTTTGTCCAGTAGCTTTCAGATTATCTATATGCCAGTATAAATTATCTTTTTGCATGTTTACACGTAAAATGTACCACTTTTCTCTGCTGGGAAAACAAACCAACACATGTTCCTATACACATTTTTATCCAACCAAACGCTCTCTAGAATGAGAATGTCCCGTCCTTAATGCCATCAGATTCATTAGAAAATTACATCACAGATGTGACGTAAGTGAAAGACCCTTGGATATTTCCCACCCCAACTTCCTGTTTCTCTATTTTCTGCCACTATCACAACAACACACAGCAAAGAAGGGTTATCAAATCTGACTTGCGCCTATCGCTAACAGCCTAATTAACAGATACAATCATTGACATTAGCTGTAGGACTCTATCAGCCTGGTTGTGATGGATATCCCACCCCCATCTCTCCAGTCTACTTCCTAGTCATGCCACTCAAATGTTCCTTGTAACGCTGTCCAAACCCCCTCCTTCCTGATCTACACTTACAAGAAAACGGTCCAGAATGGCTGAATGAATATTTAAAAGCTGCAGCCTTCTCAGTCCTGGGGTGGCTTACGGACAAGTTCCTCAAACAGAGACTGAGGGGTGAGAGGGCTTTAAAACACCAAAGGCGAAGAGAGAAACAAAAGCAAAAATAAATAATTAAATAAATAATTACAGAGCATCCCTCGTCTTGGCTAGAAAGCAAGCTACATGAATGAAGCCATTAGCACCTTCGGAGATGAAAATAATAGTGAAGATCTGAGTTTAAACCCTTTACCATGCACATGCGATGATAAAGTGTGCAGTCTACCTTTCTCAGGGGGATAGATTAATTTGTGAGTTTTTATCTAGCATTTTCTCCTTTTAATGGATTTTTTTGTGTGGAAGTATGAAAGACGCCAAAGTGCAAAACACTCCCTAAAGGATTAAGATGCTGATTTTTGATTGAGGTATGTAGTTTACACAAAGGTCTACTACATTGATCTATCCATCTATCTGCACGTCTATATCTACAGATGAACTATATCTACCCATCTACCCACTCATCTAGCTATCTATCTACCCATCTATCTATCTAGCCACCTACCCATCTATGATCTTCCCATCTATCTTTCTAGCCAACTACCCATCTATCTATCTAGCTACCTACCTATCTATCTAGCAACCTACCCATCTATCTTATCTCCACTCCTACATTTATATCTTAACTATATCCATCTACCCATCTACCTACCCAACTACTCATCCATTCATCCACTTACCTACCCATCCTTATCTGTTGTTCAACTATAGGATCTGCCAATGCAGTCACATTTCAATAATCTCACAATAATCCATCTTAATCTCTTCCATCCAATCATTAGATCATTTTAAAACACTCTGGGACTTTGTCTATAATTCAGTACAAAACCTCTAACCCTATTTTCTACAGTTTCTAACTGCATAACCTCAAGTTTCTGTTATGCAACCGATAGTGTAATGCTAACACAAGCAAAAAGAGCCTATAAAAAAAAGCTCTGAATTTGGAAATGTTTGCTACGTAAAACCACTATTGTGGTCACAATATTCATTTCAAACAGAATCAAGAGCACGTTTACCCAGTTAACCACAAAAATGTTGATATTTTCTAAAGCAATCATTTGAGACAGTAAAAGCAATAATACTTACGTTGGCAGTGTCCATCTACCTCCTCGAAGCCTGGCCGGCACACACAGCGGCCGATGGGCACCAGCCAACCTCCATCGGCACTGCAAAACATCCGTGGTGCCTCAAGCTCTTCCGCATCCTCCACACAAGTGCCGCGCACTTCCACCAGCGCTGAATCGCCGCCCGTCACTGTGTCCGGGAACCGGGACAGATTGAGCACCGCCAGAGGACAGCGCTTATAAAAGACTCTAACCGACACCAGAGCAATGCAAGCGCCCAGGTCTTGAAACGCCAGGTACAAGCCCCTCTTACTGAGACCACTGATGTCTCGCACTTCTGTATTCAACTTCATGACACGGTCCCCAACATCGGTCTGCGTAAAGCTCTCATCAGCCGCTATAGTGTCAATCTTGACATACTGGCTCTCTCGAATGTGGCGCAAAGGTGCAGCGACGGCATTGTTGGATTCGTGATAGTACACGTTAAACGTCTCCTTACAGGTTCCAGGGACTCCCGGAAGGCTGTTGCAGTCACGCAGAGTGAATTTGATCTCCACGTAGACACGCTGTGCACCTTCTCGCTGGATAAGTCCAGTGCGCAACCAGTTGTTCTGATAGGCTTCCATTACATTGCACACCTGGTACGTCCTCATAGGAATGTTCCTCTCATCCATAACACTGATCTCCTCCCACTGACAAACAGACAAAAAAGTCGATCAATACAAAGAGACACACATCCCTCAAAGCTTTGGTAATTGCTCTCTGTACTTTGGTTCTGAACTTTCTAGGCTCTTAGAGTGGGTTCTAAAAGATTTGGACAGACGCATGATGGGCACATTACGAGAAAAGGCATCAAGAGGAAAGTGCATTTGACAGGCAATCAGCTCAAAGTTATGAACTGAACTGTCTCAGTTGTTTTGTTCATGCACATTGTTAATGCAGAGAAAATTGTATAATTGTGCTTTGGAAACTTCAATTGTTAAAAGGTGAAAACCATGAAAAATAACTTGGTTTGTTGGTTTGGCACTGACGTCAGTAAGTCTGTGGGTTAAAAAATAATGGCACAAAAAGTAGCAATGTAAATCTTTCAAATCTTTCATTTCAAAAGTGTAGTATGCATATTGCTGAACATGCCTTGAACGTTTCCCCTGCTTTATAAGCACCACACAAAAGCATGAGATATTTCTCTTTACAGGCACTCATGAATCTGAGCGTGACTACTTGTGCCAAGGCCACTATTACAATCCATCATCATCTTGTGAAAATGGATTTGAATGAATGAAACGAAAGCGTGGGATGAGAACCAACTCCCACAGAGGAGACAGAGAATCGTTACTCAGCAGGTTGGCAAGGTTGTTCGAAATGAGACTTTCCTACGACCCCCCACAGGAAACTCTGAAGAGTCACAGCCTGTATGTTCACAGAGGGGAGCGGTGAGCATTTTTGAGGTTCAGAAAGATCAAGGAAAGATCAAGCAGTACACTTTAAATCTGGGGTGTCAGCACTGGTTGGGGATGGAGTAACAGTTAAAAATCTGGGCTAGTAATGAAAAGGTTTTAGGTTCAAACCCCACAAAGGACAACCATAAGATGTTACAATGGTTGTGCAACATTCAGAATTTACAATGCTTTTTAAATTCCAATCCAGTTCCTTAATTTGAATTAGAATGTACAGAAAGTAAAATGAAAATAAAACTGAAATTTCAAAGAAACTATAATTTTTTTTAAAAACGGTGGCCAAGACAAACTTTATATTTATAACCCTTGAAGTTTGATGGTTTGTAGGCCTTACAGATAGCTAGAACAATAGCTAGATACATATCCAGATAGCTAGAAAAACAAATTTTCCAGAGTGCATTGTCTATGTTGAATTTATTTGAAATGTTATTCTGTAAATTCCTTTTATTGGATGTTGAAACTTAAAAAAACTTTGCACTCATCCCAAAACCTGTGACAGTGGCTTCCACATTGAACTGATTTCTGGTAAAAATCTTAGGCAAAGGTACTGTGAGAAAGGCCCAAGGCAACTTTCACAAGCATAGAGCTCTTAATCATTGTTTTTTTTGTTTTTTTGAGTTGATTGATCTATTTCGGCTGTGCTGTGCAGACTTTCACAGGTACTTACCCCCTCTGGTGGGTATGCTTCCCAACCCAGATCACCTGGGGTGGACATGGAGTCGAGTAGAGTAACTGTAAAAGAAAGAAAAGGACAGAGATGCACAGTTAATCAAAGCCACAGTGCTAGTATACTTAGTAGAGAACATCATATTTTTATCGTTTTATCATAAACAAAAATGGGGATTTTATATGATGTCATGTAAAGCATACAGTATTTCTGAATAAAATATAGACAACGGAGCTCTAGAAATGTCAGAATCACTTGTAACAGTCTAATCAACACTTTGCATTTGAGGTTATTCATTCCAGTTTTATTTAATTGGTACATGACATATACAGTGGATTTATTTTATCAATCTAAACGTTTGATAGTTGGGGTTAGATATTCAGTCGTGACCATTACAAAACATGTGATTCGCAGCTCCTCACGCAGTCTTTTTGAAATCTGTTCTCACATCAATATTTTCAGAGGTTGATGGTGCTATTTATAACAATCTTTCAATCTCCCAATGGTCGGAGGCCTGAACTTCCCACTTTGAGCTCCGTTCCAAACCAATTACATCCCTGGCAACCAGGGTGATTAATTCTTAATCACATCCAAACCTCAGATGTTCCTCCTCTTTCACTCTGAATATCAACCTCTCACTCTCCTGGCACATGGGCATGCCCTTTTGTGACATTTTCAAAAAAAAGGAAGAAGGAAAATGAGAAAAAGCAAAGACCATCTGGATCCAAATTCTAATTAAATCTGACTTCCAATGAGTTTGTGTGACATGCAAACAGTGTGCAGTTTTAAATCGTGCTTTGATGGTTGGTTGATGTGGAAACATGGATTATGTTTGGTTTTATGGGTCATATAAAGAGCAATTGGGTAAATTTGATGACTTGACATAGGGCTGGGCGATATAGCTAATTTCAGCATGTGTTCGTGTTTGTGTGTGCTGTCTGCGTCACTCATAGTACGTGCCTATATCGTGCGCTATTTTGAAAATTTTTTCTATCGATATCGAAGAAGGTGTACCGTCGATAAATATCGATACCGTTTTATCGCCCAGGCCTAGTCCAAACACTCGAAGAGAAAACCATATGTAGAGTCAAAGCAGGATATTGCTTCTTAACCGAATACAGATTATGATGCCATTAACCGCTGGTACTTGTTTGGCTGTTTTCTGATGAAGGGGTAAAACCAGACAGGCCAATATATCAGTCCAAACTATCTGGAAATCATTCTGCTCAGCCTTTCAAAGACACATTTAATAAAACTAACAAATGAATACAGCCACAGGCCTCGCACAGCCCATTAATACAAACAGCAGGTAACATTTAACTCCCAGCCAGGCAAACATTGTTCCACCTGAGACATCAGTTCTGGCTCAGCGAGCATTTTTTAAACAACTGCTATACAGTCCCTGATGAAAAGACTTGCGTGTTGTGTTTTGGTCACCAGGCTGCTTAAATCACAAACAAATAATATGCTCAAACTCTGCTGTTATAAAGCAAGACGGTCTATATCTAACTCGAACATGGAAAGTCTTGCCAATTTTTTACTATTTTAACCAGCAAGACCACTTGGTCAACCAGTTGCACCTGCAAGATCAGGTGTAACCAACTTAACTGACAATGTTTTACAAGTAAACATAATTGCTATGCTGGTCTTTCAGTAAGATAAGCACCAAACAGTGACTAACCAGAATAAACTAGCATAAACATCATACAGATCACAGCAGCAAGGAGCCCAGGCTAGATCATTTTTTACTTGCTCAGTTGGGACAGCAGCTCAGATTTTCATTGGCACAAAACTTAAATTAAACATAGATTTATAAACTTAAAATGTCGAATTTAATTTTTGCTTTAATAATTTTTAATAAAATGTGTACATTTAAAATGTTGAATAAATTATTTTGAAGTATTATTTTACCATTTTCACACAATTCACTTATTTTACTGATAAATAACAGTTGCTGGAAATCATGTTATTATAATTATTATAGGAAATTCCAAGACAGCCACAAATTCATAAACACTTTTGCTAGAAAAACAATGGCATACATGGCAAAACAAGATTTTCGAACCATTCTTACTGATGCTACCAAGACTATCACAAGCCATTTATGCGATTTCAACAAAACCCATTTAAATTAATATTACTTAACTGACAGTTTAGCTAACTTTAGCAAGTTGACAACCTTACGCAACCAGATGTCACAGAAGCCCAAATGTTTAAGAAGTCTAGTTCTCAAACACACACAAAGTCTTTCAATTCTTTGTCATCCAAAAGGTGAAAGATCCCTTTAATCTACCTGTCAAAGAAAAAGAGAAGGGAGTGTTTCACAAAGCTGGTATTTCTGCAGTCCTTAAGGAAGAATATAATCAGGCTCACCAAAAGACATGACAGTACCATGCAATAAAATGACAAGATTTCCTAACTAGGTACCATAGAATTCAAAATGATGTTAAGAGATCACTGTAAATTCACTTTTCTGTCGTAAACTTTATAGACACTGCGGGTGAAGCATCCACTCTAATACTGGTTGTATGGTATGTTTCCTTTTCACCAGACAATAATATTTAGCCCCCATTATCTCAAATATGGTTACAGTCTTGTACAGGACCAGGCCAATACATGTGATCTTTACTAAAACAGCTGGTTAGATATTGTAGAGGAGGGGGGCTTTTCTTCATCATTAGCTCTCGGTCGTGCAGCTGTGGATATGGCAAATGATATGGCAAAAGAGATCTCAGCACCTCAGGCCAATAGATGAGATTAACCATTAACACTGGGAAGAGTGCAGTGGTCAGCAATCACCTACAATGTAAACAGGGGAGCAAAAACTTAAAAACTGAAAAAGGAGAAGGGTCAGTCAAGAAAGTGAGAGGGAAAGGACAGATAAGCAGCTGGATATGTGTCCTCAGGGAACCGAAAAGGACAATGGGGTCACTCTCGCTCATGCGTAGCCACTGTCAGGTACTTGTCAAGTATCCTTAAAAGGTAAATCAATCTCTGAGGATGCTATTCTTAACCCTGAAAACATATGTTCTGACAAGATTCAGGACTATTGGGCATTAAAATGTTTAAAATCTACTTGATTTACGAGCATAAATTATGGTATTCATATCTAAGAAGTGTATTCTCACTAGTTTTTTTATCAGTTCAAAGGTGAAGTGTGTAATTTAATTTCTCACCAAACATAATTGCAAAAGTCATGATAGTTTACAAAAAGGTTTTCTGAACACTCCCCCTTCTGTCATTGGTCAGACAAATACATAGCCCCGCCCCAAACTCACACCATTAGTTGAGTCTGTTGCTATGTCAGGCTGATCAGGATTCTTAAACAAATCAACATTCTCCACAGAGTTGTCAAAAAAACGGTATATGAAAAGAGTAATATGTCCGAATTCTCAGAATTCATGAAACAGTAGGTGAATAAATACCTGGGTGACCTACTACTTCTGCCTAGATTCCGAAGTGTGCATCTGATGGACACTTTAATAACCCATGAGACCATGGGAGAGGAACTGCGAATGTCAGTACAGAGACGGAACTGATGCCGTAAGTCACATCACAATGAAAACATGGAGGATGCAGTATGTTTGGATTTCAGTCATCCAATAATGAACATACTTTATGATCACAAAGTTCTTCATCAAATGTAGTACCTACTCAGACAGCATGTGATTTCTGACGCAGCTATAGAGTGTACTCTTTTCGGCAAAATCAACCAAACAAGAAAAATGACTTCTAGTTTTCGCTAAATATTAAGATGGAAAAGTATTTCAGCATCAGTAAAAAATTACACACTTAGTAAGTCTCATAAGTCTTCCCCATCTGTAAAAAATTATTGTATGGTTCGAAGAAAAGGACTCTGGGGTTACTGATGCACAAAACACAGAGCCTGCAAAGACTGTCGGTTTCCACAGCATCCACTCTAAGCACGGAAAGCATATCTATTGTAAGAGATTGGTATCGTACAGCCGTCTTGACAGAAGTGGTGGGGTGTATTTGAAATGCAGTCAGCAGTTCCTGTCAGTCACTGCTGGTGAGGCGTCAGAGGTCTGCTCTACTGGGAGGTGGTATTCTGCCTCAACAGACTGATGAGACCTGCCACAGAGATCCTGCCTGTCTGGCACAAGCATCACACTCATCTGACTCAATGCCCAAAAGAACAGCCATCCAGTTACAGCTTGACACCCATGAGTGATCTCCTAACGTCCACTGACAAACCTGTTTAACACATATGAATGAAGATGTTCTGGTATTTTCTAAGCAGACATGGGTCCAAACACACCGATGGAGTTTTTTTTTTTTTTTTTTGCTTTTATGCTGCCTTCACATGCTATCGGAATTATCGTAAATATGAGTTTCCTAGTTAGAAATTGGACACGAATGGCCTCTTAAGTTGTATTTACCACTGGGAGACTGTAAGATAATTTTGATACCAGTGTTTCTAAGTTGGGCAGGCCATAAACTTCAAACATGGCAAAAAACAAGAAATACCACTGTAGTGACTTAAATTTGATTTGTTTTCCCACCAAATCTACATTGCTTTCTCACCCTTTTTTATGTTTGCTTTTTTATATTTAACTATATAAACAACCATTTGATGCATATTGTATGTATTTTTCACAGCGAAAGCAGCATTTATTTGACCGAAACTACAGAATAATTTATTTGGCTTTCAACAAATAGAACACTACTTGTTCTTTAAATCCATCGGATATTGACTACAAATTTTCAATACATTTTGGCTTTAATAAGATTTCCTCAAGAAATAGGCAAGAAGAAACCTGGTATCCTTCATGATTCCTATTCTTTCCGACAACAAAGCACTTGAACACGACAAACTCACTGCAACTTTAGAAGAGCAAAGTAGAAAATTTTCAACAGCACACAAAGGCAGCATTAATTTTGTCTTTATTGGAAAATATTCAATTACAACATAAGATATGTCTTCAAACTCCTGTCACATTTGTTTAATTTCAAAGTAGCAAAAAAAAAAACTATATATATATATATATATATATTTTATTACAATAACAAATCACATGATGTAATAAGATGATTTATCACTACA